GTTTCAACCCATATAATGTCATTTTAATCGGCAAACTTGTGATCATTAGCGCCATTGAACTATGGTGGAGGCTCATATAAATCTCTTTTTCTAGCTCTTCATGAAGGAAAACATTCTTCACATCATATTGTTATAATTCCCAGTCAAAGTTCATAGCCATAGACAACAAAATTCTCACCGTGTTCATCTTTGCTATTGGAGCAAATGTTTCTTGGTAATGCACCCCATATGTTTGAGTATATCCCTTAGCAACCGGCCTTGCCTTATAGCGTTCTAGAGATCCATCCGCCTTAAATTTTACTATAAACGCCCACTTACAGCCCACTAGTTTCTTACCTTTAGATAAATCAACTAATTCCCAAGTTTCATTCTTTTGTAATGCATCCATTTCTGACTTGTTCTCCATTTCTGTCTCCATAACAAGTCTCCATTCTCTCTTTGATAATGCTTTAGACAATTAGTTAGGAATAGGAATTGTGTTTAGGGTTGAGAGAAAACTTTGATGGCTTGGAGAGAATTTCTGAAAAGTCACAAATTGAGACATGTGATATTGGCCTTTTTGTGCATTCTCGGGTTTGTTTTCTCAAGGCTATAAGCAGATTCAGATTAAGGTTAGGTTGATCACTGTTGGAAAGAGAATCTACTTGTGGTATAGTTAGATTTGGTTCACAGATTGTTACCTCATTTTCGGGAGTCTGTTCAGTGAATTGATCCTGCCTTGCAGTCATGTGGTTCTTGGTTTTCTTGTGGCTATTTAGACTGTAATTGTGAAGGAGACATTGAAGCTAAAGGCCCATTTTGTGATCTATGTGACTCGGGTGAGGGCATTTCTAGTGGTCGCAAACTTAACTCCTTATCTTCAAGTATAGGCAACTCCCTCCGAAGATAAGAAGTAAAAAAATATGGTTTATTTTCAATAAAAGTAGCATCAGCTGAGACATAGAGCTTCTTATTAGGAGGATGATAACATTTATAACCCTTTTGAGTTGAGGAGTATCCCACGAAGACACACTTAATAGCTCTAGGATCTAGTTTCCCTCTGTTATGTCTATGAATGTGAACAAAGGAAGTGCACCCGAATACTCGAGGAGTAAGATTGAATGATTTTCTAATGTCAGGGTAGGATTAAGATAAGATTTCGAGTAGACTTTTAAATCTTAAGACTGTGAAAGGAATT